GAGTGCGGATGAAAAAGATAATCTGGCTCTGGTACGTTCTAGCACTATGTTTTAGGCATACTTTAAAAGTACCCCGAACTTTAAGGCACTTAAAATGATTGAGAAATTTAGGAAACGTCGACACCCCTATTTAGAACCTGTAACTCTGATGTAAATTTTGTTACATTCAATATTTCGAACTGAAATTTTTTTCCTGAGTTACCTAGTAATAGATGCACTTTCTGTGCAAATTTCAGCAAGATCCGATGTTCAGAAGCAAAAATAGGGATTAGGGTGGGGGTGGGGGGCTTAAGTTTGGTACCGATATTTTTTTCAATATTCTTTCTTGCTTTCTTTTTTATCTTTTTTATCTTTTTTATCTTTTTATCTTTTTTTTCTTTTTTTTCTCTTAAACAACGTAGTGAAATTGTTCGTATGCATGAGTGGCTGCATAATAACGCCTAAACAACACAAACTTGTACATTGGTGTTGATAAAGTCAAGTCCGTATATTCCTTCTACCTGTTCGTGTTTAAGGTAGGACTTTATCGAATATAGCGACAAAAGCGCTTCCTAACGTACAATTGAATATCAATAATTTTTGCATTTTACCACCCTTGATTTTTCGTGGAAAAAGTATGTATGATATTACTTTTCTTACTATGATTTTACTTTTGATTAGAATTAAATAGTGTTTTGAATGAAAATAAAGTTTTTTTTATTATCATTTTTACATTTTTTATTATTTCGAGTGGCAAATGTTACGCAAATTACTCTTGAGATATACACTTCGTTTAAAGCAAGATTAGGCTGGAAACGTGACCGCCATGGTTACTTGTGAGTAATACTGAAAACTATTGTTTCTATTGTTTGTACCCAGATTGATATACATGGCATTATTTACGATTCTCAACTAGCCCGTACATTCTGTAAAAATGGGGCACTTATCGCAGTATACGGACTCAACACGGTTCGTATCAAGTCACTTTATCAAGCGCAAAACTACGGATCGTTTTGAGTCAGTATCGTAAATGAACCACATATTCATCGAACACAGTATGTCGTAGCATATTCGCTAACGGATCGTTCTGTTACGTTTTCACGACATAAAGCATCGTATGTTAATCCATTCGATGTGACTGATTACTGTGCCTCATAAGTTTTACTATAAAAATACTCGAAGTACAACCTCTCTTTTATACTTAGGAGTGTCAGATTAGCATTATTATTGAGTTATTTTAATGGGTTTTTTAAATGCCTTCCGTTAGTATCAAAAAATTAACTTATTTCTATCCGAACAGTATTTTTGAAAGGATCACTTTTTAATTGTTGAGTAGAAAAGAATTTTCTTTAGGAACAATTCTAAAAAATTCTCGCTTTCATCTAAAAATGTAGTTAGTTTTAAAACAGTCAAAATTTGAATAAAAAATGGCAAAAAGGTATGTTAATAAAAAAGTATTTAACTTGATTCGATCGAACGATTTTATTTAAATAAAAACTAATAATTTGTAGAAAAAGCATACGAAAGTTTCCAAAAATGATTGAATTAATTCTAAATGACAAATAATTTGTTTTGGCATAAATTAAAAGTTAATAAATTTGAACATATTTTTAGAGAAATTGTTGTTAAAGTAAAGTCATTTATTAAAAACATAAAAGATTGTTCAATTTGATCTAATAAAAAAAAAATTTCTAAAAAAGAGACAACTGAATTTTTTTCTAAATAAATATTTATATTTAAAGACATAGTTCAATACAATGGAAATTAACTGATTGTTTTAAAATAGGCGAAAAGGATTTTTAAAAATTAACGGAATTTAAATAAAAGATTCAATAGAACACGTAACTTAAAAAAATAATTGCTTTAAAATAATATAAAACTGTTGGAATATCACCTAAAAATTAATGTTTGAAATAAATCTTTACAGTTAAATATCTAGTAATATCGTTATAATTTTTCTTTCTGTTCTCTTCTCCCCAATAGAAGTAGATATAGATGCGATGCACGATGTAGATATCTTCTTCCTTTGCTTCTATGCTCTTGCGATAGATAGTATATGTGCTTACCGTCTCATATTTTGCATGTGCCGTAAATTTTTTTCTGTCTCAATCATCTATATATGTGGTCATGCTTTAAAAAATGTAAAGCCAGCTAGAGAGATGCCGTATTCGTGCAGAAAATCAGCTCATCTGCTTACAGTTGAATTCTATCTAAATAAAGTCATCTAGTTGAAAATGAATGCAAGAAGTAAAAAATATTTACGTTGACATAAGCTTTCAATTTTACCTAATTAAAAATGATTTTTTGTGGAACTCACATATATTTTCGAAGAAAATGGTGAGTGCAAGTTTAAAAGCGAGATTTTTGCGGTTCCCCACCCCCCTCCCCATTACAGACATTAATTAGTGTAAAATTGTGCTAATTAGGAGCTTGACTAATTAGGCTGCTATTTCTTCCCTTTTCAATTACAGACTACACGAAAAAGCTATGCTTGCCCATTACAGACCATAGTAACTAGCTTAGGGTACCATTACAGACCATAGTAACTAGCTTAGGGTACCATTACAGACCATAGAANACCTAATTATAGGTTTTGGAAATCAGAGTAGAGTTTTCAGATGAACTATTTTGAATTATTTTAGTAGGCCGAAGGGATATATGTGAGTTCCACATTTTAGCCCCAAAGGGGCTGCGCTAACAAGCTTTTTTAATCTTGTCGGAATGTATCGATGATATTAGAATCACACTAGATCTGCCAGCTTTTGCAAGTTTACTAATGGCAAAGTACAAAAGGATATGCATATTATATTTCAAACTTGACATTATATGAATATCTAAAGATTAAGTGCATTGATGCCTAACTTTATGATTTAGTAAGTTGTTTTTATGATTGGTTAACCAAAGTCATAGTTAAGTGTGCATTTAAAATAAAACACTCTCTTCCATTTTCAATATCACCATTATCATTTAATAGAGATCTAACTGACCGAATTAAACATAAACGAATCTGATTAACATCGCGAAGCATCTTCTTTATCTAACGGAAAGAGAATTTTCTGATGATGATTCAAAAACAAGTGCTGATGAAATTGCTGCATCGCAGCAATTATTTGAAGTTTTAAAATCATTTATAGACAGCTATTTTAATGAACTCGATGTGTACGAAACTCTCGACTTTGATGATGAATATGATGAAATAACTGAAGAAGAAGAAAGTACTGATGAAGAAGATGAAAGCATCGATGACATGGATGATTTTGATGAAAATCAACAAATGCATATTTATAATCAATTTACATTGGAAGAAATGGAAGATATAATCGAATGGGCTGATCAACATCCAAATTATAAGTTTACGACTATTAAACATAGATTTCGAAGAGTCAAATTCCCCAATTATATATCAAGATTTCGAGAATATATTAAAGAGAATGGCACAAGACTTGAAAAACTCGATAAAATCAAGCAGTTTATGTGGGATGAATTTTATATCAAGAGAACTATTGAAAAAGAAGCTGTTCATGATACTGATTTAGAACGTTTTGCAATTCAAAAAGCAAGAGAATTAAATTGAGATAATTCTCAAGTCAGTGAATCTTTTATTACAACGTGCAAGAAAGAAAATAAAATTTCATCAAGAAGATACAATAAACTTATCACTCGAGTGTCTTCAACCAGAAATGCTTGCAGTTTAGAAGGTATGCGAATATATCCGAAATTACTATATAATTCTCTTTATGTAAACAATGTCTGTTTTTTAGATGCTCAAACCTGGATCAAAAACCAAAAATCGTTGATTTCGAAATATTCGCCTAATCAAATTTTAAACAGCGATCATTGTTCATTCCAGAAAGAATATATTTCTCCAAGAACTCTTTCTTTCACTGGTGAAAGAACAACGGANACACAAGAATTACAATCCAGGATTCTGCCATCACAAGCTGCACACTTGTATCAAAAAGAAGTTTTGGACGAGGATCGTTTCAAAATTCTAAATGGTAAGTGAAAAATATATATAACCATCAACAAGGACGATTTAGTAAACAGTTAAAAACATTATAACCTAATTTTTCTTCAAAAAAGATGTAAACGGAATCGATGAATTCTTTTTGTCTTGCTAATCTTCATAGTAACATCTATAACTTCTCATTCTCAGAAAACTTGGACTTTATGCTACAATAAACCAGAAGCAATATGTTGCTGCAATTTATTACTCTTTAATGACCCAACAAATAAAATCATAGAATTTTTTTAGATGCCGTACGTGCGCGTACGTGTCAAATATCGACTATCAGAAGATGGGTATCGTCGGTATTACACTAATACTTTACGTGTAAAATTAAGTCGTTATCTATATGATCAAGGGTCAAGAAAATTGAAACAACCAGGAAATAACCAACAGCAACTATCTTAACAACAACAACAACAATAACAGCAACGAACGACGACAGCTAGTTCCATTGAAAGTAATCATTCTTACACTGCACATATGAATGATTGAAACACTAATATGTCTATTAATGTTTGAACTGTATTTTTGTTTTGATTTGAAATATTTTCTATATAACAACTTGTTTTACTCTTCTGAAATTGTTCATGTTGAATGTACGTCTTCTTTTACTTGTTAATTGTTATATTGTTGCTCGTGTGTTTTTTGTGTGGTTATTTCGTCTAATCCTTGTACTTATTTTGCGTGATTGAAGATGAAAATAAATTAATTAAAGATAATTAAATAATATTAAATTTATAAAAAAAAAGATAAATTGGCCAGTATGAATCTGACTTAAAACGCCGGAAAACGGTGAGATTAAGGTGACGAAGGACGAAAATGGAGTCCTTTTATAACTCGACTTTTTTCATCGGAAACGGCCTTAAACGACGTCGTTAACGTTCCGAGGAAAAACGGTCTGTAATCCGAGCTGACGGAAAACGGTGAAAAACGGCGGTCGTTTTTCATCGTTTAGGGCATTAATTATGCCGTTTCTTGACCGTTTCAGGCAGTTTAATGCCATCTTTCAGACGATCTGAATGATGGACCTGGGATATAACTGAAGGTGTTGTTGATGTTATTGTTTATCCAAGTGCACATGATAAAACAAAAAATCGAGGCTTTGCTTTTGTTGAATATGAAAGTCACCGATCAGCAGCTATGGCTAGAATAAAACTATTACCAGGAAAAATTCAATTATGGGGGCATCAAATTGCTGTCGATTGGGCTGAACCTGAAACTGAAGTTGATGAAGATGTTATGGCAAATGTAAAAAAAGAAAATATCATTGAAAGAAAACTGTTTTTAAACATTTCATTTTTAATTCAGGTTCGAGTACTCTATGTCAGAAATTTAATAATGAATACAACCGAAGAACAAATTAAAGAAATTTTTCAACGCTTTAAATCTAATTCAGTTGAACATGTTAAAAAATTAAAAGATTACGCATTTGTTCATTTTAAAGAACGTGATGATGCTTTACATGCAATGAATCTGATGAATGGTATTTATTTTTGACTTTTCTTTTACTTTTTTTGATTTTAATTAGGTCGAGAAATCGATGGTTCGATTGTTGAAGTTACATTAGCTAAACCTGTTGATAAAAATCAATATTTTCGATTTACACGTGGTGTTAGTCAATCGACCCTTGCTGCAAATATGCCAGTAAACTTTTTCTCTATTATGTTCATGACAAGCTATACATAAGTATGTATCTATGCATTATTTTAGTTTGGTTTACCAGCTGGTAGTGTTGCTCCAATAACAGCAACGTTCGATTTAACACCTCATTTAACAGCTATTCCTTATATAACATTTCCAAGTACACAATTACATACAAATGCAACGTCGATACCAAAAAGTAACTACCAAAAAATAACTACATCAATAAATAATGGAGCTACAATTCTATCTACTGGTGGCAATGTTCTTCAACAAAAGTAAGAATTGTATTATTCATTACACGAATTTCATCTTTCATAATTATATACTATACTAGTGGAGGTACCCGATGAAAAGGGAATATAGTTAAAGTTTTGCATCTTCCACCTGGCTTTTCGTGCCGTGCATGACACGTCTTCTACACGACTGTTCCCACTGTGGGTGAGTTATCTGCAACAGAATTTTTCCTGCCGTACGTCAGACCTCTTCCACAGGACTTTTCTCACCGTACCTGCAACCTCTGCTACAAATTTTTCCCCACCGTGCGTGATGTATCTTTCACATAGCTGTTCCCGCCGTGCATTAGGCATCTTCAACAGGACTCTTCTCACCGAGCTCA